CCCCCCCCCCCCCCCCACCCATGTTAATTTCAGTCTAAAAGTGAGTACAACTAAGTAAAACAATGCGGTGTGCTGACTTTTCCAACCGTAATTCTATTTTCTTATCATCTACTACAGATCAGAAGAATAAGTTAAGTTAACGGGTTGGTAATAAAATTTGGGCCTAGTGGCGGCCGTTTAGCGCTAGCAGAGGCCTGCTAGCCGACTCAAATCACAAAGTCTAGAATATCAAACTCGTGTGCAATAGATATAACAATTACATTTAGATCGTTATTCGCCCTGAGGCACAAGCACTGTGATAATCAGTTCAGCTACAAAGAAAATCAAAACTCGATGTAAATATTAAAGGAAAAAGCTTAATGCTAGTTTCGCTAGCACTCGCCCTTCCCCCACCCTGTCTCTCGGCTTGGTTTAATAAAGATGACTTACCAAAAGTTTGGAGGTTCTGGATAGCGGACATACGATAAGATTTGCTTTCCTTTCGGATAACAACTTGGTTAGCGAGCGGTTCGTCGGCTAACTTTAACTTGTTTTTATCCCTGTCTTCTCTAAGGCTCGCTTTTCACGGACACGACACTCTACCTTGCTTCGAAGGCTCTCACAAAATGGAGATCATCGGCTTCGTAGCACTGGAAAACAAGCCTTTATAGCCACGCCCCAAAAGCAACGTCATTACGTCGCTAACGTAAGAATGTGCCGTCGCCGAGTGCCACGCCTTATTATTTTTCATCTTTACTGGAAAGGCGACGTAATCGTGTCGGAATTTAGTCATTTTCACAATGGCAAATATGCAAAACCATGTTTACACACTTTTGTAAAGCTCATTAAAATTTATTATTTGAAGATTTTACGTCCTAAATTTAGGCTTATAACATCTTGAAATTTAAAAATATCCCCTGCTCAAAGAAAGTAATTGTGTGTTATTTCATGTCACTTCATAAGACTAAAAGCCTGACAAGTGCCGGGAGCCCTCGGTCAGAGATTCTTTAAGAAGTGACTGTTAATATTTTTCATTTTAAAGATGCAGAGCTCCGTTTAAAAAGCACAGCGATGCAAACTGACCAACCAGCCACAAAGAGACACAAGACAATAACAGACTTAAAATGACTTCAAAGACTTGGACTTGAGCACTAATGACTCGGACGTGGCCATGACTTACAGTCAAACCCTGGAGAAACTGAGATATCTGAGACATTTTAAGCCATTTTTCATACATATCATTTTTAATTTGAGCTTCCTTACTAAACCACATGGCATTTGCATCCCGAATTTTATGATATTTAGTTGATTTTTATTTGCAAAGGTGTTCTTTTCATCAACTGCTGCTCCTTTTATGATCTTTATCTTCTTCTTCTTTTAAATTATACATTCTGTGGGTCAACCAATCTACTACAAGAGATATAAACTTTTCTCACAACATTTAACACTTTAAATAAATATATGAACAAAATAATTTAAATGGCAGAATAACAGACAACCTAAAAGTAAATATGTAGAAAAAAACGAATCTAATTAAATACATAAAAAATATGAAATCTAAATGACAGGTGTGAATGATACACAACAAATTTAAGCATACAGTACATTAGGAGTAGAGGGGTTTATTGGAGTCTGGTCATGTCTACTGTAAGATTTGCCTGGTGTTTGGCCAGCTCTGTTATTAGCAGTGTGATGGAGAAATTTTCAGACACAACATTATCAGGAGGCTGGTTGTTCTGGTTATTCTGTGTATTGCAGTTTTACTTACTAACTATACTAATCCTAGCTGTCCAAGCTTGTGCATTTACACTTCCTTTATTTCGAGTTACTCATATTGTTGTCAAAAATGTTTTTTAGTTATGTGTAAGCATGAGGGGCATAAACACAAGGAATTTCCAGGTAAAAGTTTACTACAACCCCAAATCAGAAAAAGTTGGGACAGTACGTAAAATCAAAATTAAAACAGAAAATAATGATGTATAAATAATCTGTGTCCTGTATTACATTGAAAACAATACAGCAGGACATTATTTGGTGTGATACGTCATCAATTTAATTTTTTGTTCAAAATAAACTCACTTCAATTAAACGTATTATAGTGCCTGACACAGGTGTGCCAAAGTCATTCTGAGCCCATGTGGTTATACGCTTATAGAAGAGTGATGATCCTTGATTCAGTGCCATCTGAGTGATCGGAGAGCACGGCCCTCCAGCTTAGGCTTGCGTCCTTGCCCTTTGTGCACTGAAATCCCTGCAGATTCCTTGAAACTTTATCATGTCCTGCACCATAGAGGGTGACATACTATCCAAATCCTTTCCTATCTTTCTTTGAGGAACATTGCTTTTAAACATTTCAAAAGTTTTCTCATGTATTATCTCATCTTTAACAGGGATGACCACAAAGGTGTTAAGGAAAAACGCTATAAGTCACTTTCTTCTTCTTTTGTTTTAATGGCAGTTGGCAAAGTTTCTGGTGCATTACCACCACTTTGAGTGTGGACCAGTGATGTATTAGTTTTACTTGGTCTAGACATTCTCTTTTGAAAGAGACTATATTAGCTCTGTGGTGTGGACCCATGAAGAAATTAAATTATCTCACAATGTGCGGTGCTCTGCCAAGAGAGTGGATGAAAATGCTTAAGTCATGTCAAGAAGAACTCCTAATTGGCTATAAACTGTTAAATCTGCCAAAGGGCAGTTACCAAGTAGGCCTGCTGACGCAGTAGCAGCCTGTGTAGTTGCAATAAGCGCAGTATAATTTTTTTTTTTTTATGTTCATAAAATAAAATGTAAAGTGCATTAAAACGTAGACATACCAATTTGTAATTTTTGTGTACAGTAGGGGTTGTATTTACTTTAACAAAAATTAGCTCAATCATTTGCATACAACTGATCCAACAGTCATTTTAAAGGATGTAGTTGTCATGTACAACTTTCAGCAGCACCACAGCAGCTGTCCCTTTATAGTATTTTACTATCACACATTTAAACACAATAAGAGGCCATTATAGACAAAATGCCAGCTCTTTAATGTCACATCTGTCTAGCATGACCAAGTCAGGAAACCATTTCACTGTACACAGGGCGAGATTGCAGCAACAATAAGACTGGTATTTACAGGATTCTGGAGAACACTGGATATATCCAAGCACTCAGCAGCGCAACATACCACCTTTACAGCTAATCAGCAATACACAACTGTGTCTAGTGCACAAAAACAAAAATGACGTTACAAGCAGGTTTAGAATAAAAAAATGAAAAGATATGTTTAGAGTCGTTATTAAATAAAATGATTAAAATGTGTTTATATTGGTAGAAAAAAGTTTTATTCCCATTATGCTGACACCACAAAAGCCAGATCAGTGTGTTAGCCAAATAAGTTTGGGTTTCACCTGGGCTTTCTGGTATTCATGAAGAGCTCAGTGACTAAACTAAAGACCTAAATTTTCACATTATCTGCACATGTACACTTGTTTAAGTGACAACAGGGTATTACATGTTAATAGCTCAAACCTTTTAACAGCAAAAGAAAAACTAATTCTCTGGCTTCAGCTTCTTAAATGTGAAGATATGCAGCTTTTCTGTTTTATATCAGTGTAAACTAAACAGGTTTAGATTTAGGACTATTCGTTGGACAAAACAAGACAAGAGAATGAAAGTGTCGCTTTGGCTATATTTGTAGTTTTTCTGACACTGACATTTTACTTTGTTAGAATGTCACAGACAAACCGTGATAACTCTATACAAAGGTAAGAGAAGCAGAACATACAGCTAGGGTTGTAGTGGTATATCTGTTTTACGGTACACCATGGTATGAAAATTGATGGTTATCACACCGCGCACATTTGTTTATTACCAGTATTGAAGGAAAAAAAAAAATCCTGCTTTTACATCAGTGCATGACTGACAGTCCTTTAACGTAATGATCCAACAGTATAGTATCTATAACATTTTCTGCTCTGAGTAGCTAACTTCTACCTTTAATACTTTAAGTACATTTTCATGATAACACTTTTAGTGGACATGTTCAATGCAGGACCTTTACTTGTAACAAAGCTGACTACTTTCACAGTGTGATAGTATTTTTACTGAATGATGTGAATATGTCCTCTACTAAGATGCAAAATAACTTTAGTTAAATGCTTTTTGTTCTGTTTTCATGCATTTGAGGGTCACTCTAGCAGATATTAACTGTGTACTGTAATAAGGTGAAACTGATATTTTCTGAGACCGTTATACCGTGAAAATCCTCATACCACTGCAACCCTACATACAGCACATTTGTCCAGTTTGAGTTTACAACAGGGGCGATAACATTAGGAAGAGGCATGCCCACAGTCATCATTAACTAATAAGATTCAGTAATGAAGTTAATATAATTATCATTATCTTACCTAACTGAAATGAACTGGCACTGTAACAGCCTAATTTATTCACAAGTATGATTAAATTCTTATTCCACTTTTGTGATGCTGCATGTGATTGGGTGGCAACTATGACACCATTTATCAAAGGACAGAGGAAACAGAGATCAACGGGACATGCTTGTATTATCTTGATCGCTCATTTGAAATTCAGGCCCCAACACATTCTTCACAGTCAACGTGATTTTTAAAACCATAAATGTTATAAAAAGAAATTAAAATCCAAAGCACAATGAAATGAAATGGAAAGCCCTTAAATAAAACTGACTAAAGCATGGAAGACACCGTAACAGCCTTCAATACAACTGGTGCTTGTGTGGGAATCCAGTCTGGGACATGAAATTCTGAAGTCTTCACCTGAAACTGAAAAAACAAGCAAAATTTAGGGAAAATGTTAGCCTTGGACAATGTGCTTTGTAAATCCCCTCAGAGCATACATGTAATGTCAACTAGGAGTCATTTTAAATTGATTGATGGCATTTTTATGCCTCCGTGCCAGTAGCATTATGTTTTCAGGGTGTCTGTGTGTACGACTCATTCTTGTGAACACAATGTGTTACGAACACCTTGAGGGAATTTCTACAAATTTGGCACAAGTGTCCACTTGGACTCAAGGATGAACCAATTAGATTTTGGTGGTCAAAGGTCAAGGTCCGTGATTTTATATCTGTCCCTTTCCCAATAATTTGACTGGTAGTTCTAGTTTTAAAGGATAAGGCTGGTCATTTTCTATATTAATAGTATTTTCAGCAATCTCCATACGGAGACTAAAACTGACAATGATTTGCCTACACTCAAGGTAAATGTCGGTCAGCATGACAGTCCTGGATTAGCTTGTCTGTCTGTGACACAAACCTCCGCTGTTGTTCAAAAACAATTAAAAACATCAGGGAAATGCACTGCTGAACTGGGTGACACGATTTTCATTACAAAACACCAGACCCTGAGCTTAGTACAACACAAAGTCAGCTGTGCACGCGCAAGAATTTGTGCAAGCTCTCAACTTTGCTTACCTTCCCTTAGCTCCTCGCACTCAGGGTAGTGGTGTGTTTCTAATCATTTCTAAATGACAATGGACAGACAAACAAGCTGATCCAGGTCTGGCAGACATTAACTATGTGTAGAGGTAAATCAATGGTTTTAGTCTCTGTATGGAAACTGCAGAAAATACCATTAATATAGAAAAATGACTAGCCTCAATGTGATGCTGTTTGATAACTGCATATTTATCAAAACAAATGATTCCATACAGGAAGCATTCAACCTTATAATGTAACAAGAAAATAAATAAAAATGCAAAGTGTTTAACATTATCTATATCATTGAGAAGTTTAATGCAAGGCCTCAAACATCACAGTAAGCCTTATAATAAGTCGTACTCATTAGCTGTAATCTTCCCTGTAGATTTTTTCAATACTTAGTGAATTTTATGTCTTTATTGGCAAATCGACAGCAGAAAGATGACAAGACAAAAAGAGTGAACGATAGGGAACGAGAGCCAACAAAGGTCCTTGGCCAAACTTGAACTCGAGACATTAAGGCTCATGGCTAGCACCTCAAACTCTAGATCAGCAAGGAACCCCACTCCCCGAGCTGGCACAATTAGTCGTTTAGTTAATTAACCAGTAACCATTTTGACAATTAATCATTAAAATGACCAAACAGTGCTTCCTGTTTTTAAACTTCTCAAATGTGAGAATTTGCTGCTTTTCTCAAGACATGAGAAGAACTACTTGTGGACATTTTCATTATCATCATCATCATCCGCTTATTACCTGATAATGACACTCATTAACTGCAAACCCTGGTCACAAACACAGGTTTCACAGTAAAATTTCAATCAAGAAAACTGAGCATTGAGCTCTATGGCTAGACTTCTGAGTGAACTACAGGAAGCAGTTTAGATGACTGAAAAGGTGGACTGTGCACATAAATTGAAGTTGAGCATTGGAAGATAACTGACAAACCAAAATTAGTGAATTGCTTCCTGGGGCTTGAGTGTTTAGCGTAGCTCCTACTGACATGTTAGGCATTAAATGATAATACTAATTATGT